CCGGGGCCGGTGCCCACAGCCCGGGGGGGACAGGTGGGCAAAGCATCTGCCCATGAAACGAACCTCCGACTCTCCAGGCAGCGCGGCACACCCTGCCCTGCAGCGGGAGGGCCGGGGCAGCATTGCTCGAAGGTGGCTGGGCCTGCACCCCAGCCACCGCAGCATGGCGAGGGGTACGGGCAAGGGGTGCCGGCCGGTCTCCACCGTGGCAGGCCAGCTGCTCAGGGCAGCTTCCCGCTGTGCGGGTGGCATCAGGCATGCATCTGGAACAGATACGGAGCAGCAGCAATCGGTTTGCACACGGATAAATGTTTTTGTGAACTCTGCACAGGTCAGAGGGGAGTCTCTGGCTGGGCAATCATACAGACGATTAGTTACATTGCACTTCTCCCCCAGGGCGTCTGCAAAGTTTGGTTTCTTTTCTATCGTGCCTTTGAACTTAAAAATAAAAAACAAACAGTGAAAGAACAGATTAAATTAAGGAGCAGGATTCTATAAATACTCTTATTAGACAGCTTGTTATTTTAATGAAGTTCTCTTTAAACAACACGAGTTTGACCTATACACCCGCCTAACATCATGGTGGCCACGAACTCAAACCAGCTGACCAGGAGATGGCCTTTCACCATTCTGCGCTAAACTGCACTTGGTGAGCTCTGCCGAAGGCCCCGCTCCGCCCGCTGCAGGGTTATTCCGGGAACAGCCCAAAACAATTAGAACATTTTTCCCATTAGTTGGGAGCATGCTCCCTGGAGGTCGTTCTCAACTGCAGGGCCACATCCAGCCCCCAGCACGCCCAGGCAGTGAAGGGAAGCCGGATGCGAGCCCTGGGACAGGAAGAAGCCTCAAACCACTGCGGGGCTGCTCAGACAAAGCCAGCAGGGAAAGGATGTGCCTCCACCAGAGAAAGTCACCATCCATCCTGCCGGCACCAGTCCCGAGTAGAGCGTGGCAGAGCAAGGCGGGGTGGCTGCAGGACAAGATGCAGAGAACAGGCTTTGGCACGCAGCCGCCACGCTGCTGGCTTTATCCTGAATGCTTCCCGCCCCCTCGAACCAGCCATGCCACGGGGCAGGAGGCACAGGGGTCCCGGGGATCTTGCTGTCCAACTGCAGGAGAGGCCTTCAGGGACTCTGCCAGCCTCTGCCACAGCCTTCTTCCCTCTGCTCTCGGCCAAGGCCCTGACTTATCTTCTTTACCGCCTCCTGCCCACAGTTTGGGGGACCACTTGCTCTGCATGGCACCAACCCAGGCCCAGCCCAGCCAGACCAAGACTGGCCCCAACAGGCACCTCTGCAGGCGCATGGCACAGATCCCAGCCCGATCCCTCAGCAGTGCAGCAAGGCCCCTTGCTTCAACCCAGCAGAGATGGCTCTGCGGGCTGCCGCGCATAGAACGGGTAGCAGAGACCAGTACAGGGGTGCCCTGCAGGCAGGCTCCAGGCAGAGCCACAGACCAGTCTTCCAGAAGTCTTTGCACCAGGGAGTTCGAGGACAGCGCAGCAAGTGGCGCTCTGTCCTGTCCTGCCACCCCCAACTCCAGAGGCTGCCAGCCCGCGGGGCAAGCCACCAGGTACAGGCAGGGGAGAAGAGCAGAGGAGGTGCAGGCAGCAGGCAGTGACATTTAGTCAGAAAGCCACACACATACAGCCCAGCCAGGGTCTCGGTTTGATCCGTCACCACACAACGCTCACCAGTGCTCCGCTCTGGGTCCTCCTGCTGTGAAGTACCTACTTCCAACATGCACACCGAGTCTGCTCCCTAGGAGATATGTAACACAGGGCCCGTGTTGCCCTAGCAGTGTGAAGCCCTCTGCCGACTGGATCTGCAGCTCCAGATGGCCGCCTCAGCACCCCAAGTCTCGCACCCTGTGGAGATGGCAAAGCTGAGGGCAGTTTATCACCCCAGAGCAGGCTGTCTTGCAGCCCATGCCCGCAGTCACACACATCTCCCCTTCTCCCAGCACCCGAGACTGTCTGTTTACGTCCTTTTTGCTCGCTCTCACCCATTTTCTCGCGAGCTCATCTCCACTTTTATTAGTTTATCCTAGGCATACTTTTCTGCTGGCTTCACTGTCCATTTCAAGTATTCCACCGAGGTGACTGACCACACACACTGCTGGGCTTTGGCTGGGACACACATATAGCAAAGGAATATATTTTCAGAAATGAATGTATTATTGTGAGTTTGTACGGCATTTTTTCCCTCTCGGTGTTCCTTTTCAACAAGTTCGGCAAGTTCAAGAGCTGGTAGGTACATGATCAGATCAGGCCTGATGATGTATTTGCTACAGAAGCATCACACTGGCAGCAAAGCAGGTCAAGTTCTGAAGTTAAATAGCAGGGGACTTGGAGAGAGAATGGTCTTATTGTTTCTTCCTTCAACTACAAGCCCTGCACTTTGACATTGACTTGCTCTTCCCACAGGCAGAGAAGTATGAGCTAAGGCAAAATTGGAAAAAAACTATCAACTACTTCACTGCGTTCCTGCACCCTGCAGGAAATAATCCCATCAAACCAGAGCAGACACGCTGCTAAAACCATCGCTCGGGTTATCGCGCCATCATTTTGAAAAGGCAGTAGGTACTGCTGGCACAACGCAGGTTGCTTAGAAGTTACATTGACGTACTCCCCCACACACCCGGTCCTCCCACCATGTCCGGCAACAGGACACAGCCCCAGCCAATTTTCTATTTCTGTTCATGGAATAGGACATAGTTTCAATCAGAAAAACAGGAGACCGCAGCGGGACACAGGGTCAGGGCCCCGGAGGCCTCCATCACAAGCGGGCAGAATTTCAGTTTCACATTTCGCTCCAAACGAAGGTATGTCTGGAATCACCCCTGCACGCAGGCTCCCATCTTCAAGACAGCTGCCCTGTATCAGCTGCAAAATCTCTACAGTTTGTGACTGAACAGGACGGAAACAGGAACTTAAGTCACGGAATGAGCAAAATTGAGACCTCGTATTGCTTCACAGCACTTCTAACTATGGACTCTCATTTGAGAAGAGTGTCCTATTTCAAACCAAAATAGGTTTCCATACACAGATGACCTCGCACCAGGGCAGCAAAATTTAAGTGACATTCAATTCAGTTATTTCTATCTTGGCACGTGTATGACCAAGTCCCTGGGGGCTACAGGAACCCTTGAGCCTGGGGTTCACTTTGTCACATGCACTACAAGACTAAAAGGTTGTGTGTTTTTTTTCCACACCTCCAGAAGCGCAAACTAAGCCTTCGTCCCAGTACGCAGATAAAATCTAGCGGGTAAGGCTAAGAATCACAGGGATGACACTGCCAACCTGCCACACGATGGACAGGCTCCACTAAGGTATACGTTAGCATGTTCTCAGTTAAAATAAAACACAAGATGGAGAAACCTAAGTTTTAGCCCAACCAGCTGAACACCTGCTGAAGCCCAGCCTGTCTCGTTTCAGCTGAAGAACTCTGCTTGCGTTACCATGACCAAGCTGTGAATGCCCCAGCTCAGAGAAAGCACAGAAAATACCGAAGCTTGGTGGATCTTTGAGAACCTCTCCAG